GATTTGGACACCTCCTTGCCGTGTCCTGCAGTGCAAGCCCCATCCCCAGAGCAACTCCCTGGTCTCCTCTCCCACACAGCATTGCTCCCCACCCTCAGTGTCACAAGGACTTGGCCATCAGTTGCCTTCCCAGCAACCCAATCAACAAAGAGAGGGGGGTGAGTATTCAGGTTCAGATGAGACACCAGCGCTATGGATCCTGTCATGAAGATTCTTCCACAGAGGAAAAGCAACGAACTCCCCTCGCAAAATCTGTTGCTGTGGGCCACAGTATGTGAGGCTGGAAAAGATCTGACCCTCCCTTCAGGACACACCATCTTTCGGACATTTGACTTTTTGCTAGAGGGGCGTGCTGAGCTGGAGGCTGCCCTCCAGAAGGTCACAGTTCTTCCATGGCATCCCTTTCTTTCTCAGGTTCCCAAGAGAGAAGACACCATGGGTCTGAGGCCCAGGAAATGCTGCTGGGTGGCTGTAGGTGGGCAGCTGCCATGAGCCCTGGGTGTCCCTGGTTGGGAGGGCAGAGCTGAGATCCTCCACAGGTACAATGGGCTGAGGGGTTTGGAGATCTGCACTGGGAAACTGCATTCCTCTACTCCCAGCAGTTTCCTACGCTTTTGGGGGGAACCCCCGAGTGTGATGGTCCTGGAGCTTAAGGAGCTGCTTGCACAGGGCAGCTGAGCCCAGGGCTGATGGACAGTGCGGCTGTCCTCCCTCTGCACTAAGGGACAGTCCCTTTGCCTCTCAGGACCCACAAGATTTCCCTGGCAGTGCAGCAGAAATGCCAGGGGTTTCTGCATGAAAACAACTCCTGAGCTGTGGTGGGGAAACTGGAAAAGAAGACACAAACCAAAATCCCCACAGGTCTGCTCTGCAGTCAGGTGAGTTGGGAGCAACAGTGCTGAAAAGCTCTTTGATATCATGAGGGTATTTAATCTGCAGTCACGATGTGTTCCTCTTTACCTATGTTGTAGGGCAGGACGGACTCCTGCAGAGCCCACATCAGAGCCTCCATCTCCCTGGGGCACCCTCAGCCAGCACCAATCAGATCTCACCAAAGGTCTTCCTAAAATATGAAAGGGGGTTGGGTTGCTTCTATGAGAAATAGATTTGATTTTTGCAAATAATTCTCCCCTAATTTCTCATTTCCTTTACCTCCTTGCAAAGATCCCCACACCCACAGGGCCAAAATGTCCAACACCAGCTCCATCAATGTGTTCCTTCTACTGGCTATTGCAGATACACGGGAGCTGCAGCTCTTGCACTTCTGGCTCTTCCTGGGCATCTACCTGGCTGCCCTCCTGGGAAACAGCCTCATCATCACCACCGTAGCCTGTGAGCACCGCCTCCACACCCCCATGTACTTCTTCCTCCTCAACCTCTCTCTCCTTGACCTGGGTTCAGTCTCCACCATTGTCCCCAAATCTATGGTGAATTCCCTGTGGGACAGCAGGGCCATCTCCTATGTAGGATGTGCTGCCCAAGTCTTTCTGTTTTTCTTTTTGATGTCAGCAGAATTGTATCTTCTCACCATCATGGCCTATGACCGCTACGTTGCCATCTGCAAACCCCTGCACTATGGGACCCTCCTGGGCAGCAGAGCTTGTGTCCACATGGCAGCAGCTGCCTGGGGTAGTGGGTTAATCTATGGTCTCCTTCACACTGCAAATACGTTTTCCATACCTCTCTGCCAGGGTAACGCTGTGAACCAGTTCTTCTGTGAGATCCCCCAGATCCTCAAGCTCTCCTGCTCAGATGCCTACCTCAAAGAGCTTTGGTTTCTTGTTGTTAGTATCTTTGTGGGTTTTGGTTGTTTTGTTTTCATTGTGCTGTCCTATGTGCAGATCTTCAGGGCCGTGCTGAGGATCCCCTCTCAGCAGGGACAGCGCAAAACCTTTTCCACCTGCCTCCCTCACCTGGCCGTGGTCTCGCTGTTTCTCAGTACTTCTATGTTTGCCCACTTGAAGTCCCCTTCTATCTCATCCCCATCCCTGGACTTGGTAGTGGCAGTGCTGTACTCAGTGGTGCCTCCAGTAGTGAACCCCATCATCTACAGCATGAGGAACCGGGAGCTCAAAGATGCGCTGAAGAATTTGATTCAACTGGTTGTCTCTAAGCAGCTGTAAGCTGCTCATGCCTTTTCAGAAGCTATTTCTTTTTTGTATCTGAAAACTCAGTGCTGTACTCAGAGTTCACTCCAGCAGTGAGCCCCCTCATCTATACCTTGAGGAACCAGGAAATCAAGGATGCCTTGATGCAATGGAAGCTGTCTCACTGACAATAACCTGCCCCCCCTCCTCTGCACAACTCCCAGAGTTTATTCTAGGCCATGAGTCTGCTTTTCTCTCTTGTGGCGATTCTACTTAGAGATAAGTTTCTGGGTTTGTTAGGATCTGTTGTGGGAGCAAGTACAGGATCTGCAGGTGTGGCTGATAAGTATAGGATCTGCAGGTGTGGTGGCTGAGCTGTAGGATCTGCAGGTGTGGAGACTTTGTTTTGGGACCAATGAGAAAAGAGATAAATAGCAACAGGATCACTTTGATTGCGCTGGTACATGGACTTGGGGTCTGTGCCTTCACTGCCACAAGGATCCAATTTTGTTGGATGAGAGGCAGGCCCCCTAGCTTTCTAGACAACCTCAGATGAGTCTGGGAGGCTAGGGGTGGCTAGACAAACCTCTTGTTTCAGGTTCAATTCCTTCAAGCGAAATTAAGACACAAACAAGGTCAGATGTTGTTCAGGTGTCATAAGTTTACTCATTTATTAACTCTTTGGGGCAAAGAGAGAAAGCAGCAATAGGAAAGAAAGGAAGAAAAGATGGGAAATTAAGCAAGAGGTCCAGTTGGAAGAGTGCAGACAGTCACCACCATGGATCCGCAGCGTCCTGAGGGTCCAAGCCTCTGGGGTCTTCCGTGGTCTCCCGTGGGATTGGTGGTCACCAGAGTCTTCAGTGGTCGCTCACACATTCGGTGGTTCCCCCCCAAGGTCTTCAGTGGTCGCCTGCAGACTTGGTGGTTCCCCCCAGAAGGGGTCTGAGACGTCAGCCTTTTATAGGCTGTATGCCTAAGGCAAATGCTTGCGCATACATTTTGTGCAGTTTATTTTTGGCATTGTTGGTGTTGGGCAGGGGCAGGGTTCAAACTGCAGGCCCTGGTGGGCAGGCGCCTTGCCTGGGTGTCTGATAAGCAAAAGAATGGCCTGCTGCTTCAGCACACCTGCAAGCCGCCTTGTTTGGTCTTCTCAGATAAGCACAAAAAGGAGTGAGCTTTGAGACAACTAGCTGGCTATTCAGTCTCTCACAGGGTTTATACTCCTTCTGTTGAGGTTTGATCCTGTTGTGCCTGACCCTTGCACAACACTGTGTCACATGTAGCTTTTCGATGAAAGGTTATGAGCCAGGTGCAGTGCCTGATATCTGTGCTCTTACTCCTAAGTTTCTTCCAATAAAATATCCAGGCAAAAATTATTTTAAAGTCTCTGTTCTCTTATTGTTCTCAATGCTTTTGAGGTCTGGCTCGTGATAACATTGGGTTCCATGGGATCAAATGTTTTGGGTTTAAAGGCTGTCTTTTTGGTGTCCAATGGCAGGGGAGATGGT